AATTTGTGTTGCCAACCCCCCCTATTAGAAGCGTATGCACTAAGGATATGTTGTTATACGCATTGTATATACAGACTGTACGGTGTTACGAGTGAATGTTTTATTCTTGGTTATTCCTTCTCTTCTTCAGAGGATATACCTACAATTACCGAGGTGCAACCACGGCAACATCAGCGAAAGCCGCACCCCAAACTGCCCTCCCGCGTTATGAATCAAGTAACAGCATCTCTAAATACGGCAAAAACGCCTACGTTTAGCGCCACAAGCCAGCGCTAAGACTTTACCGTAGACAATGTACATTTCTGCCGCAATGTGCCCTTGTGTCACCCCCCACCCATCTCAAGGTTCTCATTTTTCACCATTGGTCCGCCTTCATTTTCAGCCATCATGCGTCAACCCATCACTGCGCCTACCACACCCCAAACAGACAGTGTTCATCATGGAATCTTCAACCATTTCGGCGTCTGACTCCGAAAACTGACTCGTGCCATCTTGTCGTGATTCAACATGGCCTCACTCTGCTCCTCAACAACAAGGCAAAGCCCTCCTGTTTCAGGAATAGATATTCAGCTATCTACGTTCCAAGGCAAAGGTTGTCCAGTTTCTAGGTGTCCGGCCCAAGTACGATAAGAGCACCGGTTTGATTGCGACATCGTTTGTAAGGTTCTCCAGTGGCACCTCTGTTCAGACAAAGACTGAAAGTCTCCACGGTAAGCTCCTTGAAGGGACGTCACTCAACGTATCATTGTATGGATTTGGCCGCCTGCTCGGGGACACCATCCAGATTCCTTCACAGTAATTCTGCCAGCCCCAGGAACGAACGGGTCACATCAACTTTGTTGGCACCATCGCGACGACGGAGGGCAAGCATCCAACAAGGAACGTGTGAGGCAGGGGTCACTTCCTCTCCATGTTGAACTTGCCAGCCGAGAGGATTACACGCGTCATAGATCCAGCAACTGTATTAGAAGATAGATTGTGATAGTTTGCATTGTCTATTTGTTTTGTATCATTAATTATGTAAATGATCGTCGATGATTAAGGTTAACAAATGAAACATTTATTGACAAGCTGTTTTCTTTAAAAAAAAAAAAACTTCCTGTTTGTGATTAATCTTTCTCGTGTCGTCCAAAAAAAAAGATGGCGGGATGGATATGTGTTCTTCGGGTTCCTCCCTTCAGAACTGTTGACGGAGGCTTGGGGGGAATGCCAGTGTTGCGTTAGGTTGGAGTTGCTGCTGTTTTATTTGCACGCTAGCACAACAAGAAAGGGATGTTTGCCGGCAAGAGATCCTTTCCAAGTTACAACGTTCATGGCACCAAAAGGTGGCTTTTAAAGAGGGCCTGCGCTGCGGAAGCTTTGCCCAAACAAGCTGCCTTGTTCTGTATGGAGGTGGACATCTTGGAAGAAGCAGGGCTTTGTTTCCTCATGTCATAGCTGGTTCCCACTAGTGACAGGTGGGGCATTATTCATGAAGCAGAAGAGGTGGAGGTACACAGATCTACAGAATGAATGAAGCAGGGAGATCCTCGCGCTGCAGGTCCTCTGGTACGGCTTCCTCTCCAGCAAGGAGAAAAGTGAGCAATCAAAATCTGAACTTAGCAGTCAGAGGCAGCAGTGCTTTAGATCAGGGGTAGCCAAACTCCGGCCCTCCAGCTGTGGTGAAACGACAAATCCCATGATGCATCTCTCTCCGGGAGCCATGCCTGTGGCTGTGAGAATCTTGCAGTGCCTCATGGGATTTGTAGTTCCACCACAGCTGGAGGGCTGGAGTTTGGCTACCCCTGCTTTAGATGATCTCACGGTGCAGATCTGCAGCTTTGTGGCTCAGTGTCACTATACCCGACCCACAAACAGTGATAACATTCCACATCTTCATACGTGCCCCTCTGCATACCTTGGAACAGCAATGGTGTACGGTGCATGCCGAAATATAAATGTAAACATTTTTTGGATCCCACTTCCTTTATGAGGGTGGCTACGTTGGCTCTACATGGTCCCATGGTGTATGCCATGTCACATGCTACATCCCATTTGAGATGTAGCCACATTCTTGGTGTGTTCCCAAAGAAGACTACAATCGTATGTGGTGACGCATCCAGTGCCGGCATGCAAAAGCTCTAACATCCACCCATAAATTGCAGCATTGGCCACAGGCTAACGGAGTGACAGCAGGACCTACTAAAGAGGTCCAGCTACCTCTACTGAAGAGGTCCTGCTAAAGAGGCCCAGCTACCTCTACTGAAGAGGTCCTGCTAAAGAGGCCCAGCTACCTCTGCTAAAGTTACCACTACTAAAGATGTCATGCTAAAGAGGTCCAGCTACCTCTACCAAAGAGGTCCCGCTACCTCTACTAAAGATGTCATGCTAAAGAGGTCCAGCTACCTCTACCAAAGAGGTCCAGCTACCTCTACTAGAGAGCTCCTACTAAAGAGGTCCAGCTACCCCTACTGAAGAGGTCCTGCTAAAGAGGCCCAGCTACCTCTGCTAGAGCTACATCTACTAAAGATGTCATGCTAAAGAGGTCCAGCTACCTCTACAAGAGATGTCATGCTAAAGAGGTCCAGCTACCTCTACTAGAGATGTCATGCTAAAGAGGTCCAGCTACCTCTACTAAAGATGTCCTGCTAAAGATACCAAGCTACCCCTACTAGAGAGCTCCTGCCAAAGAGGTCCAGTTACCCCTACTATAGAGGTCCTGCTAAAGAGGTCCAGCTACCACTACTAGAGAGGTCCTGCTAAAGAGGTCCTGCTACCCCTACTAGAGAGGTCCAGCTTCCCCTACTAGAGAGGTCCAGCTTCCCCTACTAGAGAGGTCCAGCTTCCCCTACTAAAGAGATTCTGCTAAAGAGGACCAGCTACCCATACTAAATAGGTCCTGCTAAAGATATCCAGCTACCCATACTAAATAGGTCCTGCTAAAGATATCCAGATACCCCTACTGGAGAGGTCCTGCTAACTCTACTAAAGATGTCTAATAATACCTGCAGCCTCCTGGCTCTGAGTACATCCTTATCAATCTCAATGTGGACCAGGTTCCTCATGTCTATACAACGCCCTCTAGTGGTAGCCAGGGAGATAGTCATAACTCAACGGTAGGATCTTTAACCCCTTGCCACCAACTCATGATAAACCTTAGAGCCCATCTCTGGGCCAACAAACAAACTGCCCGTGCAGTGGGGCTACCCCTGTGCTGCAAGGTTTCAGTGCTCCTTTCTGTCTGGGGAACTGGAGTAAAGCAGATTTACTCACTCGATCCCCGCTCCGGCCTGCTAGACTGGTCCCCACGGCCTCTTTTTCCCTGGGCTCTGAGGACTGATGAAGTCATCATGGCTAATGTAGGTTCCATAGACCAGCATTAGACGTGAGGACACCAAGGGCCATTCCTCCAGCCGGAGCGGAGGGGGAGGGAGGAGAGTGCTGGAGACCAGGGGAGCGGGGAATTAGGTAAGTAAAGCTGCTTTACTCCACCAGTTCCCAAATAGCACTTAGCCCTTGCAGTGTGGGGGTGGGGTGGCCCTACTGCAAGTTTGTTTTGTTTGGCCGGAAATTAGTTTTAACATTTGGAGGCGGGCTTCCCATGTGATTTCTGTGGTTGGCTATTACAGCAGTCACATGATCAGAAGCCCACCCCGTCTCCTGATTATAAACAGTGACCGGGAGCTGTTGGTGACTGTTCAGTCACTGTGCTAGTAAGCAGTGGGCCGGCATTCAAGCAGCATTAATGCCCGCCCACTGCGCTGAGGCATATGTGCGTTACACTGGCAATCAGGCATTAAAGATAGCCAATCAGAGAGAAGCACGCAGGCTGCCATTGCTGATCTCCTTCTCAATATGTTGTCTCCACTGTGTCCAGTTGCGTCATAGAGGTGTGGAGTGGGCGGGCCCCCCCAGGCAGCACTGTAGCCCGCAGCGGGGAGCACTCCTCCTAGGGTGACCACGTTGCTCCCGTTACAGATACACTAAGCAAGCATTGTCACCCTGGGACAGGAAGTTCTAGCTCTCTCCTTCCTCCCCACCCCCCACCCGCCGTTGCCCTGTAGAGAATGCAGTCGATATTGTTGGGACGATGATAACGGGGACACTCAGACCGGCGAGGTTTACAAAGTATGAAATGAATACGAGACTTTCTGTGTAATTCCGGATCAGATTTTGTAATAAATTTAATGTGCAATAAAGATATTTTATACTTACAGAAACGAGTGTGACCCGTCAATGGCCTGAAAATACATAAATTGAAATGTAATTAAAGTAAATGAATCGTAATATTGACAAATTTCCTCACAGAGACGTACCGGGGGGGAAGTGACAGGTGCTCTTTGTAAGTATCGCCATGGAAACAATGAACTTCCCACAATCCAGTGCACAGCCTGGTCAGCTGACCCTCAAGAGCCAATCATTTGAAGGAATCCTTCAATGTATCCCCGGAGGGCCTCCGACAGGTCAATGAAGCTTTAGACTTTTGTCTAAAAGTGCATTTATCCTCATTTTGTAGAGATTTCCTCCTACTTCCTGTTGCATTGCTGGAACAGGAAGTGAAGGGAAAGCTCCTCAACATGACCGGACAAGTGTATTAACCCTTTCCTACTGCATCCAAAATGAAAATAGAGGTTGCATATACATATTTAGTACTGTATACATTGCAGGGAGGTGTAATACCTCCCTGTTCACTCCTGGAGGCGCTCTCACTCCTCCTCACACACTCATTCCACCACAGCAGTGCAGGGATTTGCCTCAGTTCCTCGTCCAGCCAATCACAGTCATCGACGGTAGAACCTCGACCAATGAACGCGAGGAGGGGGCGGGACTTCCTCCCCAGTGACTGATATGAGAATACGTGGAAGTGGGAAGACTGGTGGGCGGGACTGGCTGAATCAGCATGTACAGTAACGCCAATTCGTCCAAATCTCCTGCTGGCAAATTTCCAGAACCGACGTAATTGGAGATTTCGACGAATTGGCTATTTCGACAGAGAACACCGGGAGCGAACAAGGGGAGGGGCTGGCTCAGTGATTGACAACGACAGGACCCGCAGCCAATGAGCGTTCAGAAGGTGACGAGCTATAGTGTTTGAATGACAGCAACACGTTCCGGAGCTCCTTAGCAGCCAATGAGAGCAGAGCAGGTGTCGGACCTGTCGGCCAATGACAAGTGAAAAGGAGGGTCGTGTTAGGCCAATCAAGGACGTGTTGTTGTCATGCCGTCAATCATCCCCCAACGTCGCCAGGATACCAGAGTGAAAAGTGAAAGGAGGTACACCGGCGACGTCATCACGGCTCCTGTCACCCGGCCAATCATGAGAACCCACGCTATGGTAGGCTGGCTTCTGATTGGCCGAGAGACCGGCATCCTGGCTGTGGTTGGCAGATGCGTAATCGTGACATCCGGAAGCGGAAGCGCTGTTGGACCTGTAGGTACAGAGGATGTACAGTGCAGAGTGACAGAG